TGAGATTAAATGACCAGTGAATTAATGATCTTTTTTTTAAAATTTTTTAATTATCATTTTTAATTGACATATAATAGTTGTATATATTTATGGGGTACAATATGATATCTGGATACATATATCAATATGTAATGATTGAATCAGAGTAATTAGCATATCCATCACCTCAAACATCTTTCATTTCTTTGTGTTAGGAACATTCAAAATAAATTCTTCTAGCTATTTGAAATTATGCAATAAATTGTTGTTAACTGTAGCCCTCCTACAGTGTTATAGTATTCTAGAACTTATTCCTCCCAGTAGATGTAATTTTGACCAACCTCTCCCTAACCCTCCTCCTGCTCCCCTTCCTAGCCTCTAGTAACTATTATTCCGCACTCTACTTCTGTGTGATATTAGCATCCTCATCATATGTGAGAACATGCAATATTTTTCTTTCTGTGCTAGGTTTATTTCACTTAATATAATGTCTTCCGGGCTCATCCATGTTGCCATGAATGACAGGATTTCATTGCAAAGATCATTCATTATCTGCTCTGAGAAACCTCTATAAATTTCCCTCTCCAGAAGAAGTCCTAAGATATTTCAAAAGTATGCCTTCAGATACTATCTTAATATTAAAGGTCACTAGGAAAAAAAAAGGTGTACACCTTTTCAGTGATGGGTTACCTCATCTGGATTTTCACTAGTGATCCTAGCAGCAATAACATGACCTCTTGGGCAAGGAACATGAGCAGAGTTTTCAAAATCAATGGGAGCATCACCCCAGGGAGATACCCCATACATCATACGAATATCCTTGATTCTATATAGAGGGATCCCCATGGCAATCTGAAAGATAATAAAAGACACATCATTCATTTTCCAGTTACTTCCCTTAAAGTGTGGAGGCTATCAGATTACCTAAAAGATTTTTCATTTTTGGAACCACTACCTAAATAAAACATTCTATTTTTATAGCCTGTATTCTACAAGTATCAACTCTAAGTTATTTGAAATAGAATATATAACTACAGAAAAGTTGTTAGAATATTCCCCACTCCTAAAAAAGTCCCCAAATTCCTGATGCAAAATGGATATGAGTTTCCCTTTGTCATTTCTCCATCAGAAAATGAGAATGAAAATATCCAAGGGAGTCTGAGCAGTAGCGATCAAAGAAGATCAGATAGCTAAAAAGTCTTAACTGTGTCATAATTATCTCCTTCATCCCCACAAACCACTAGAGGAAGTAAATAAATCTTTAGCCTTCAATGGGAACCTAGAGGTGTGCCCAATGTGGGCAAAGAATATGTTAAATAAAAATAGCTATTACTGCTTCCCATAATATTTGTTTGTCGGGCTGAGAGAAGATAATACTAGCATTTAATACATTATAAAAATGTGTGCTACCACAGTCTTGACAGGAAAAACCTAGACCACTGCTCTGATGGAGGATTATTTCAATAAAGAATACTAATAAAAAGGACTAGGGGATAACTACAAAGTTGTGAAGTTTTCTATAATTAAAGAATTGAATAAAGCATATTATTTTTAATGTTTCTTGCAAAAATATGACAGTTTATATCAGATGTGTCCAGCTAAAAAGTATAATATTCTTATGTTTGTACCACATTAGGAAAACCAACCCGCACACGCATAACCCATACAGTATAAAAGAAATGAACATTAGGTTAGACTCAGATAGGAGGTGCCTTTCTCTTATCAGATGCTGGTTAAACCAGTTTTCCAGGCATCTGTGATATTCCAAACTTCTCTAAGCTCCTCCCTGAGCTCAGATCAGTATAACTCACCTGGAGTTGTGCTGCAGGGAGATTAACATCAGCCACCATCTCTGTACAAGGATGTTCCACCTGCAGCCGAGGATTCAGTTCCAGAAAGTAGAAGCTGCCATCCTGGCTATACAGGTATTCCACAGTCCCAGCACTCACATAACCAACCATTTTGGCAAGTTTTACTGCACACTAAAAGAAGAAAAATAAGAAAACATAAGTACCTCACTTTGTCCAACTGTTGGACCACTGCAACTTATCTGCAGCCTCTCCCTGGCTCAAATATCCAGTGTTTTATAAGGGCCACCAAACTCAGCCACATTAGAGCAAATTTCACCCTTTGTGATTATTACACAATATTTCTGGACATGGGTGACAAACTCAATGAAAAGCTGGGAGACAACAGAGTGTTTGTCACTTTGGATCACTTGGATCATCCCATCATACATAACTGGATACAGGCAAAAAAACATGGTGGCAAACTTTTCATTGTCCCCTAGTTTCTATTATGCTCAGAATGCTCCGCTTCTTCCTAGAAACACGGCTATCCAGCAAGGGACTAGATTTTTCCAACCTATCTTATAGCTAGTGACCAAGTTTTGAGCAACAGGAAATCAGCATTGGTGAGTGATACCCATAACTCCTAAACAATATTTTGAAAAGGATTTGCTTATTCTCTATTCCTGGCTTTCCCCCTTCTTATGCATTGGTACCTGGTCATAATAGTGCAAGCCAGTTTCAACTATGCAGATAAAAACACATAGAAATGGCAAAACAAAATAGAAAGAACCTGAATCCCGAGATGGCCTCATAGAATAGAACTATCCTATCCATCCTTGAAAGCTTACCTCAGACTATGATGGGAAAGAAAAATAAACTTCTATCTTATTTGGGTCACTGTGTTTTTTGGACATTTTTATTACAGCAGTTTAACCTAATCAATATAAAGATTATTAGCTGCAGGTAGGATGCTGCTATTTAAAAAAAATTAAAATATATTACGCTAATTTGGCAACAGGGTAGTTGAAGCAAGGAAACAGATACTGCAGGCTGGAAAGCTGGTGGCCTCCTCGTTATGGCATAACATAACACTTGGTAAACTGTTCCCTACAATAATTTGGAACACAGAATACACACCAAGTCTTAAGAAAAATGGTTAGAAAGAGTCAGAACGTTGAAAAGCCAACTCCTTTTGTACCCCCCAAAAAACAGATTAGATTCTCACCCTGAAGCAATCCAGTGTCAAAGATTGGATTAAGGGATGCTGCTTTAGTTTTGGCTGGCCTCAAGACAGTCATCATTAAATCAAGAGAGATGAGTGAAGCAGAAGCCAGTAAATAAAAGAAACATTTCTATATCTAGAAGAAATCTTTGGTTATGGTTACTCCAATTGAAGCTGATTGGAAGCAAATAGCTCAGGAGCTTTCTAAGTTTTTGAAGGCATTGCATATCTAAACAAACCACAAGCCTGGCCTTCAAAAGCCTGTGATTGATGACTGGAGTAATGTTTGTACCCCCAATTCTGCACAAGCAGGAAGTGGGCCGTGAAAGTTCTGCCAAAGAAGGCATAGTCTCCAAAGCCCAATTCACAGAGGAAAGTAAATAGGTTAGAACTTCCCAGAGAATAAAGTTAGGTGTCTTGAAAGAAAATGGGCAAGGAATTTACTCCCAAGAAAAACCAGGGATAGTCAGAAGGTCTGTTTGGAGGGGCTGTCCAGTTAGCTCACTTGGTTAGAGTGTGGTATTGATAACACCAAGGTTAAGAGTTTGGATCCCTTTACCAGCCAGCTGCCAAAAAAAAGAAAGGTGTGGGGGTGGGGGGCATTTACTCTAAGTATTACTCCACTATATAGCAAGGATAGCAAGGAATCACCAAAATTCCTGCCCGGAAGGATTTGATAACTGCTATGGACCAAAGATTACTATGTATTTTTTTTTCTCCAAATGAGACTTGTTCATACTATACCACTGTATACTGGGTTTACAGGAGGGATGGGAGGAGAGAAATGATAAGAGGTAGATAACTTGTATTTTAGGTCACTTCCCCATGAAAAGTCACATATATATCTAATGGAGAGGAATGTACACCACTGAGAGATCTTGAATCTCTAGGTGACATAGTAACTGTAGTAATTAGTAGTAACTGCATAGGACTTCAGGCTATCTTCCTTGGGAAAAGGCTGAATATGTTCTAAGAGTAAGAAAAAGAAAGTGAAAGTAGTAATGGGTAGCCAGAGGAGTAGACTGAGGCACGGATTATTAAATGCCCTCCAGCAATTTTTCTCTACTTCATTCTTTTAGAAATAGAATTTTCTGAATTTTAGCTGACCACATGGTAACCCAGTTAGTGACTACAATTCCTACAACTCTTGAGCTAGGTATGGTTGTATAACTGAATTTTGTCCAACGGAATGTGAGCAGAAGTGACATGTGTGACTTCAAGATCATGTTTTTTGTATGTGCTTTCCCTCCATCTCTTCTCTCTTCCCTCCCCACAGGTTACAATGTGAACATAATCTTATGATTCACCTTAATTGTGATCATGATGACACCATGCAAGGGCAAGGGGTTGGCAAACTTTTTCAGAAAAGCCAGATAATAATTATTTTCAACTTTGTGAGCCATATAGTCTCTGTTACAACCACTCAAACTCTGCCACCATAGCAATAAAGCCACCATAGATAATACACAAATAAATGAACATGATTATATTCCAATAAAATTTTATTTACAAAAGCAGGCAGCAGGTTGAATTTGGCTGGCAAACTGTAGTTTGCTGACCCCTGTCCTAGGGAAGAGCAACAAACCTGGATCTCTGGCATCAATCAGCTCATCTCTGAAGTATGATGAAAGAAATAAACAGAAACTTACACCTTGTTTAAGCCACAGTATTTTGGAGGCATCTTTACTACAGAAGTTTAAGACTGCATCCTAATACACAGACACACACCATAGGAAATGAACACAAATGACCACATATTTAGCTTGTCTGAAATTCAGTAGAAAGAAAAGGTGGAAAATATATCTTCAATAAGATGAAGATGAAGTCATGATTCCAGAAAAGACTATGTTTGGACTCCCTAAACTACAACTATTTCCAAAGCAAAATTCATGGCTCTGAGAAATTTTTTTCTATATAAACATACAAAATATGTGAACTTTAAAGATAGTTAGAGGATTTTTCAAGAAGGTAATGAGTTTGAATAAATTCATCTGAAGACCTGATATAATCAATCAGAAAATGGAACTTCCTGCTTTTCATGAACTTGTTTTTTTTTTTTGTCTTTTTTTGTGACTGGTAAGGGAATTGCAATCCTTGGCTTGGTGTCGCCTGCCCCGCGCTCAGCCAGTGAGTGCGCCTGCCATTCCTACGTAGGATCTGAACCCGCGGCGGGAACGTCGCTGTGCTCCCAGCGTGGCACTCTCCTGAGTGCGCCACGGGGCCGGCCCTTCATGAACTTGTTAAAAAAATCAAGCTAGGGCCGAGCCCGTGGCGCACTCGGGAGAGTGCAGCGCTGGGAGTGCAGCAGCGCTCCCGCTGTGGGTTCGGATCCTATATAGGGATGACCGGTGCGCTCACAGCACTCACTGGCTGAGTGCAGTGCAGCCGGTCTCAAAAAAAGGACAAAAATAATAATAATAATAATAATAATCAAGCTATAAGAATAAAAATCCAAAAACATTTCTCTTCTTTATCCCTACTTAAAATAGTACACTGATTTTTTTAAAAGTGTTAACTACTTTTAGAGCTTGAAATGTTCCCTGACAACTCTCCTAGATGTAGACCAGCAGAATTTGTTTTCCTCTACGAAAAGAATATAATCTTATCCAGAATCATGGCTGAAATTCCACTATTCTCAAATTTGGTATATGAACTGAATGAGAAGTACTTCTGTGTAAGAAAAGAGAAGTGAAAGCTTTTAAATGTATATACCTGTTCCATATGTTCAAATACTGCTGGAGTAGCAATAGCAGCAGGTGCCTCTTCAATAATCTTCTGATGCCTGCGCTGTACAGAGCAGTCTCGACCAAACAAAGAGATAGCATTGCCATACTGATCTGCTAGGATCTGCACCTCCAGATGACGAGATTGTTTGGCTAGTCTCATCACAAATATAGGAGATCCAGGGACTTCAGCTTGAACCTGTAATAAAAAAGGAAATAAAACAAATAAGTGGTAAACATTTTTTCTATACTGATAAGCTGCTTTGATTTCAATGAGCAGATGCCTAGAATTATCAGGGACCATGTTAATCAGTAGGAATACAAAAATGAATAAAATATAGTCTATGCCCTCATCTATCTTTAAGATATTGCATTCTTAGTTCTATAACCAATATAAATTAATATGAAAACATATGAACATCCAGTGTGTTACAAGGGTAAACAACAAGATATTTGAAAACATACATACACAAATCCCACAACAGGGTAAAATACTGCCAATCACTCTATACAGCCAAATGTACAACCTGTTCCAGACTAGATGCTTTCCTGGTTCACATTACATCATATATAGTATTGTTACAGTCAAAGAACTTTCATCTTTGATTTTGAAGGATATTGTCACTTGGTACAGAACCCTACATTGGCAAAATTTTTTTCAGCACTTTAAAGCTATCCCAATGTTTTCTGGCTTCCACTGTTTCTACTGAGATATCAACTGTCAGTCTTATTGTGACTCCTTTGAAAGTAATCTTTTCTCTCCAGCTGCTTTAAGATTTTCTCTCTTTCTCTTTTCTTAAGGGGGTGGGATGGCAGATTTACTCCAGTTAACTTAGGTATAGTCTTTGTATTTGTCCTGCTTGGGACTCATAGTGCATTTTGAATCTGTGCTTGGCATCTTTTATCAGTTCAAGGAAATTCTTAGCCATTCTCTCTTCAAATACGGCTTCTGCTCCATTATTTCTTCAAATATTGCTTCTGCTCCATTCTCTTTCTTTTCTCTGAGACTTAAAGTACATGATGTTAGATCATTTCACTGTACCCCATGTCTTTTATGCTTTGTATCTTTTTCTGCTGTGTATTGCTATGTAACAAGTCACCTCAAAACTCAATGACTTGCTTAGAACATCAACCTTCCATTTGCTCATGATGCTGTGTTCACCTGGACAATTCTTCTGGTCTTACACTCATGTGCACATCATCATCAGGTGGCTTGAGTGGGGCTGAATGGTCTCACTCACATGTCTGTGATTTGTGCTGACTGTTGGCAGGAAGGTCTAGGGAGCTTCGACTGGAATAGCTCCTCTCTATTGCATGTGGTCCCTCATCCTCCAGTAGGCTAGACCAGGCTTCTTCAGTGCAATGTTCCAAGAGGGTAAGGACAGAAGCAGCAAGGCCTCTTGAAGTCTAGGCTCTAAACTTACACATCACTTCAGCCACATTCTAATGGTCTAAGCAAGCCACAAGGCCAGCTAAGATTCAAGGGGTAGGGAAAGAGATGCCACCTCTTGAAGAGAGACAGCGAAGTCACATTGCATAGTGTATACATACAGGAATGGGAGGAGTTATTGTGGCCATCTCTGCAAACAACCTACCATGGTCTATCCTCTGGCCACAATATTTCACATACCTCCCACATGCAAAATAGACTCACTCCCTCCCAAGACCCTCAAAACCTCATCCAATCATGGCATCAGGCTTGACATCCATTTTCTCATGAGTCATGTCCAGAAGCAAGTGAGGTTTCTCGGGTACAGCTCCACAGGTACAGTGTCTCTTGGTCCAAAGAACTGGGAACTGAAAGACAAGTTATCTTCCCTAACATCCCCAATATTTAATAATAAGACTGAGAGAAGATAACTACAAAAGATACTCCTGTTCAAAGAGGGGAGAGTGGAAGGTAAACTGTGGTGGGTGGTCCATCGCAATTCTGAAATCCAGATGGGTACTGCTGTCAAATTCCCTTAGGCCAGGGGCAGGGAATTTTTTTCTTTTTTTAGGGTCTTGTTCTGCTCCCTGGGGGTGCCGTTCTGAACAAATCTGAGGATGAGCCTGCAAAGGCATGAGAGGGAAGGACCTCACAGGTAGGAGGAAAGATAGCAAAGAATGCCTACTTTCTTTGAAACCAAAAGAGTAGAGAGTATAAAAAAAAAAGCCAAAACATTAAAGATGTGGTGAATGGTGCCAAATGCTCTCCCCTTCCCCAAAATGGCAACCTTCTGTTCTTGGATCTGCCCTCTAGGCTCCTGACTCCACTCTCTAAATTTCCCTTTTTATCAGAAATAACTGATGTTTATAGCTGAACAGTTTTCTCAATCTGCTTTCTGCCTATAAAAAGTTGAAGACTCAGAGGCTTCTTTTCAGTTTGAATTGTTTCTGTCCCTTTTAGTCCCTTTGGTGCACTCATGAATACAAGTCTTTTGACAACACTGTGGGTTTCCTATGAATCATATTAGGGCTTGCTGTTTATCCCAAAAGCCACATCCATGACTTATTTTTGCACAGCCCTCTCTATACTTTGGGCATGGCTACTGTTATGCGATAATGCCCTTAAGATTCTTAGAAGCACATTTTTATAGCTGGAGGTACTGCCAGGCAATAATCTAATCTACCAGGTATTATCTTAAATATTTCTGAGGTCTTAAAATGGTCTGAGGCATTTCTTACTTTGCCAATCTTTTGCCAACTGGAGAGAATGGGAACGAGAGACAATTCTATTTTCAAACCCAAAAAGTTCTGGGCTCTTTACATTTCCTCTAAATTATGCTTTAAAAACCCCCAACAAACCTTTAGTTCATCTCTCTTTCATAGTTCTTTATGATAAGCAACTAGAAGCACTCAGCAGATACTTTCAACACTTTGTCTAGGGATCTCCTTAACCAGGTTCATTACTTCACTAAATACATTCTCTGTCTTCCAAGTTACTGCAGACATTTTTTGCTAACTGTTCCATTATTACAGACTCTAATAACAATTGCTTCACTACCTTTCCAGTCTAGGCTAACAGTCTGTTCACCATTCCTCCAGCCTTCATTAATATACTACTGACCATTTTTCCAGTCTCTACCTATGAACCAGTTTCAGAGCCGATGACACATTTTTACTTTTATGTTATGGCAGTATTATACCTTTAGGTATTAATTTCTTTGTCAGTTATCCATTGATATCTAACAAAATACCCAAAATTTAGTAACTTGAGGCTGGATCAGCATTATGAGCTGGGCTCAGTTGGGCAGTTCTTCTGCTGATCTTGCCTGGAGTCACTCCTGCAGCTGTAGTCATCTGGCAGCTCCACTGGAGTTCAATGGCCTAATGCAGTCTCACATACAAGTCTCAAATGTGGAGCTGATTATCAGGTAATAGGACTAGGAGGCCTTAGGTGGGACAACTCGTCTCTGCTTCATGTGAACTCTTTCTCCAGTAAGCCAGATTGGGCTCTTCACATGGCAGTCTGATGGCTCATTCTAAGAGAAAAGAGCAGAAACTACAAGACCACTTGAAGTTTAAGCTTCAGAACTTGTACACCATTTCTGCCACATTCTATTGGTCAAAACAAGTCACAAGGCCAGCTGAAATTCAAGGGGTGGGGAAAAGGACTCTACTTCTTGATGGGAGGAGCAGCGAAATCATACTGTACAGGGGTAGGTATATAGAGAAGGGGGGAGTTATCATGGTCACCTTTGCAAATAATCTCTCATATTGCTCTTTTCTATATTTTTCATCTTTTTGTCTCTCTTCATGCTTCAGTATGAACTTTCGTCTGATCTTTCTCCCAGTTACTAATTCTCTCTTCAAATGCATCTAATATGCTATTAAACTCCTATACTAACTTCTTAATTTTAGTAATTGCACTTTCAGTTCTAGAATTTTCATTTGTTTCTTCTTTATGGTTCCCAGTTCTCCACCAAAATTCTCCATCATGTCTTTAATTTCCTTGAATATATTAAGCATAGTTACTTTAAAGTCCTTGTCTAAATCCTCTGTGAGTCTGTTTCTACTGACTTTTGTTTTTCTTGGTTTTCAATCATGCAATTTTACATGGCTAAAATTTTACACGGCTAAACTTTTATTTCATATGGCTTACAGTTAGGTGCTTGATAAGCCATATGAAAACTTAATAGAAATAATTTGAAGTTCTGGATGTTTTCTTTCTCTGAAGAGAATTTACATTTGCTTCCTGCAGGTGGCTAGAAACACTAGCAATCCTATAGTACCTTGCTTAAATCAGAGACTGAATGTGTTAAAGCTGAGATTTAGTCCCTGCAAGGGCTGGTCTATTTCCAGTACACTCTTTCTCCTGCAGTATAGTCTTTCAGGACTCCAACATAAAATGTGGGAGGTCTTCCAAGGGCACCCCTCCTCAGCAAACCCTGAAGTCTAAATTTTGTCCTCTTCACCTTGTAAGACTGTTAAAAACTCTGATCAGCTCTTCAGCTGCTGGTTTTTGAACTAGAAGATATCTCTTAGGATAAAGTGGCCTCAAATGTCAGGCTCACCTCTCTGGGTTTCCTTCTTCTCCTATATGTTAGCCCCATAATTCTTCACTATACTTGTTACATAGCAATACACAGGCTCACCTCAGGCTCACCTCTCTGGGTTTCCTTCTTCTCCTATATGTTAGCCCCATAATTCTTCACTATCTTGAAAGGTCTCTAATGCCTTAAAAACAGATTTAAAAAAAAAAAAACCTGGTCCAGCTTTTCAGGTTTGTTCTCAATGGGAGGATTGGGAGGTCCTAATATGGCCGGCACTCTGCTTAGTGCTTTATTTATTTATTTATTTATTTATTTATTTATTTA